CAAATACACAAATGTCGATATTTTTTCAGTGCCAAAAAAAAAATCAGGATATTTCTGCCTCATTGCTCCCACATCATAAGTATTGTAACTTAATTTACAGGGAAAATTGTGAAAAAGTACTGCCTAAGGTTGGCTAATAGTTGTTTAAGGACTCTTGTGCAATTTATCTTTAGTTGGTGGAACTTTTCTTCAACTGTGTCCAACTATTTTTTACTATATATACACACACATATATGCACAGAGCTGAAAATATGTTGTAACTTTGCCAAGAAATATCGAGCTTGCACCGATTGAAGATGATTTGCAACCACGGACACGGTTTCTAAAATACCTTTGGACAAATTATTTTCCAATAAGTAATGCTTCAGCAATTTTTTCTTTTTTTTTTTATTTTAATCCCTCTACAAACATACAAAACTACTTAGTGAACTCCCTTCGATTAGTTAACCCCTTAAATTCTTAACATAGAATTAGATATCTAACTTATATAAATTAAAAAAAATTAGTTAAGTTAAATAATTGTGTGTATTGCATGAAATTTCAAGATAAATAGTACTACTTACAGCCTTAATATAAGAAATAGTTAAAATTGAATTTAATCCTAAATATAAGATATTAATCCATTGTCTCTCAAATTTATAATGTTTTTTCTAAAATATCTTTACTGATTATAAAAGGTTTTTACTAAAGGATAATGCCTATGTACATGATTAAAATGATAGTTTAGGAAAGTTAGCGCACATTTGTTACAATTAACCAACTAAACTAATTTTCTTAATATCCCTAAATTAGTTATCTAGCTCTTATATTAAGAACCGGAAGTAGTAGTAGCATTATAATTAATAAACATGAGGATCTGTTTTATATATTTTGTGTTTAGTGATAATGATAATATAATGCAGGATTTGTTGGGAGAGGGAGCTAGAGAAATTGCAGTGGTAGGGCTTCCTCCAATGGGATGCTTACCAATTATGATGACTCTGAACAGCTTTGGTGGGGAAAGAAGCTGCATCGATAAGTATTCCTTAATTGCAAGAGATTACAACCAAATACTTCAACGTGAATTGCGACTAATGCAACAACGTTTCTCCAATTCTGGTGCTCATTTCTACTACGTTGACATTTATGGCCCTTTGGCTGATATGATCCAAGCTCCTCATAAATATGGTTAGTACTCCATTGGCTCTTTGCTTTTTCACATTATTGTGTGCGGTGCATATTACTCCATCAATTCCTAAACTACTGTCATAAAATGTATAGGCTAAATGATCCATATAAATTAAAACAATTAGTTAAGTTGATTATTTATAAAAATATATATATATAGATATGGATTTTCCTAAATTAACCCTTTCTGAAAACTACTTTTATTGAGTATAATATTTGCAATCAATAGAGTTAATTTAGCGAAAAATAAAATGTGAAACATAAAGGAGATTGAAACTTAAAGCTTATTTGATTAACATTTGTAAAAGTAACTTTTATTTTAATTACATTTTACAAACTGAATTTAGAATAAAAGTCAATTAGAATAGTGTTGAACCCCCAAAAGGTCGAAGAAATTGCCTTTTAGATGTAATGTGGATTTTAGAAAAGAATTATTTGGCTCCAATGCCAATCCAAACATCATTTTTAGAATCAAATTGGCCTTTGGAATTACAAAAGACAATCCAAATAAACATTCACATATAGGACCAAAACAAACATCTTAATTAACTCCTACATTTATGACTGACAAGTATATTAATTTATTTACAAATATTTAAATTATGAATAATATAATTCATTTCTCAAATTCTGTTTACAACACCACTAGCCAACAGAAATATGGTTTTATAAACATGTCATTGATTTTGTGTTTTTGCTGGGGAACATGAACAGGTTTTGATGAGGTAAATAATGGGTGTTGTGGGAGTGGTTACGTTGAGACATCATTTTGTGTAACGACAAATTGCCGGTGTGTTCTGATGCTTCAAAGTACGTGTTCTGGGATTCTATACACCCCACAGATAAGGCCTATCACTACATCTTCTTGGCTGCCCAATCCACCGTTGATTTCATCCTCCAACGCCTCCAACAACGACATTAACTTCCATTTCTTTCCCCTTCTGTTCTTGTTGCTTAATATTATATGGCCTGTCATTATTGGGTCATATCCTCATGGAAGTGGTTTGACGGTAATATATAAAGATTATAAGGCAAATATGTACTTTCTATTGACAGAATAAAAGAATTTGCATTTCCCCAGTTGAGTTGAGTAAGTTTACACCGTTGTCAAGGATCTGTTTCGCCATACATAGGAATTTTAGTGCAAAAACCGTACATGATTGATGAGGAATTGGAGTATTGTGAAGGAAAAAAAAAGAGAAAAAAGGGAAGAGAAGAGGCACTTCCGCTATATAAAATTACTTGGATTATTAACATTAGGGGGCCTTTGGCAATTGTAAGAAGTGCTTTTTAAAAAATACTTTTTTGCAAATCAAGATAAACTCTTTTATATATTTACTCTGTATACTGTAAAATTACTTCTCAAACCATGATTTGATTTCCATTCAAACATCCTCTAATTCTCCTAGGAGAATTACAATGAGATTTCAGGAAAAGAAAATAGTTATTAAATAGTTCCAATAATAACTTAAACAGTCAGTAATAACAAATTTTAAAATAATAAATGACAATTTTTAGGACTTATTTTGTAATTTGTAATTGTTTTTCTTTCTTGGAATCTCATTGTAATTCTCCCTACAATTAAACTCAGTAATAGTTTTAGGGTTTAAGAGCATTATTTTTTATTAAAATACGACGCTGTCTCTAATAAGATGAAAATTTGACATTCAATAGATACCAAGGAAAGTAGCTAATGCTAGACTGCTAGTTCAAACCTAAAATGTTTTTCTTCTTTCCAATTCTGCCTTTAATTGAATTTAATGATTCCCATGAAAAAATCTCTTCCTTTCATGATGGTTTAATCATTTGTTAGGGACATATTAAGGAAACAAAAAAACATTTATTAATTCTTCCTAAAACTTCATAAACGGTCTTATAATTAGGGGCACTCTAGCCTTCAAAACTGGATCTTACAATTAGAGACAGAAGAAGTATAATCTAAACATAACACAATCACGCACGCACATAATTAACCTCAGTAGCTTTAAGACAGGAAAGAAAAGGGCTCTCGCACGTCCCATGTTCAATGATAATCTGATTCTATAAGTGGAAGCAAACGCTGAGGAGGTAGAGGTGGTGTTGTACGCTGGTGATGCGTTTGGACAAAACTCAGTGATTTGGGAGGAAAAAAAAAAAAACTCTTGATTTATTTCTCTCAAAATGTAGATACGAAGGTTAAAAGGCGGATAATATGCGAGCAAAGTGGGTTCAGACAGGTATATGAATTGGGAAAGTACTTGAACTTGGGTGCAATGCTCTGCAACACCAGGTCGTCAAGGCAGAAACAGAGAGGGTGGAAAACTAATTGTCTTTCATTCGTTGTCAAGACCAGAGGATGCAATACTTGAGTATATTGGGAGCTTGAGGATAGAAAGAGACCATAGATGAATGGCTGGACAGGAGAAAGCTGATTTTGATTAGCTAGATTAAACCAAAGGATCATTGGGTTAAGGTGACTGCAAATGGAGCCACACAATTGAAGGGTGGCCATGCCTATTGCAACAGACTGATTAGTGGGGCCAATGTGAATGGCTTATTGGTTTTCCACAGGACCTGGGCATTTGTAACAGTCACTCTGCAGAACTAATGGGCTGTGTTGGATTAAACAGGTGCAAGAAGATTTGAATTTAGCTACGGCAATGGGGATCCAAGTAGTAAGGTACTACAAATAGTAGAGAAATTGAGTCTCTACGAAGCTGGCAGAGACTGAGACTTGCGGCTTACCTTTAGGCATATCTATAGAGAGGCTAATGAGTGTACTAACTGGTGAGCCAAATGGGGAATCAAGCAAGATATTGGGGACTATACATGAACTACACCTCCTAAGGACTTTCATCAGCTACTGTAGGAGGATATTGCGGGCATAGAGAGACCACGCAAAGTACTTATTTTATATTTTTCTTTCAAGACTTAGGCCCTCTTTGCCACCAAAAAAAAAAAAACGAGAATGGAAATACCCGCATAGCCATAGGTGCAGTGGTTTGCATCTGTATAAACATTGCACCCGCTGTCCATGTCAACGTTCAAGCTTTTCTAAGAGGATGTTTGGGGTAGGAGTATAGAAGCAACTCTTTTCTTCGGCATAAGAAATAAGATTATATGATTTGTATTCCTATTCCATAAGTAATTGCTTTTTTAAAATTTTTTCCTTGAGAGATACACAATACTTTTCACCTACAAAATTACCTTTTCCAATTCTAATTTTCTTTCCATTCTATTACATTCTCTATAACCCAGACCACCTTAAAAATTTCACATTTATCCTGCAGCTAGCTTTTGTGAGGCCGTATGAAAAGGAGTGCTTTCTCTCATTTTTGGACTCAGTCCTGATGTTTGCCGAGGTTTGAAATATTACTGACGTACCAGAGAAACAGAGGTTACTCAGTATTTTGGGCAGCTTGGATGAAGGAACATCATCTAAAATAGGAACATAATAAGTCAAAAGGCAGTGATCAGGCTAAACCCTGGACTTATAATTATATATTTCCATGTAAAAGGGCATAACAAATAAAAAGTTTGTCAATGATGATTTATCTATAGTTGAAGTTCTAATCAGAACTTCAACCAACGTATTGTTCTGTTGTTCAGGAATAACTAAAGGATACACCTACAAGCAGATTTCTTAGCAGAGTCTTCGGATTTCTATGCGTGCACAATACAGCATCATTGGAAGACGACTCCATACTAATGCCAGAAGATGGTGTAGCCAAAATCAGGAGAGCTACCAGGGAAAAGTAAGAAAGTAATGCTCTTCTTTGCAATCAGGAAGAAATATTAGCTTTTCAAGAAGGATCCAATTTCTACCTTCATAGTCCAAGGGTCAAATTCATGCCTTTTTCATCAAAACAGGAGAACCAGTGCATCAAGATTCTGCTGCATCATTTGAATTCCTGAATGTAAAGGAATTGTTAATGGAATCGTTATTTTTACAATCCCCAATGCAAACGTTTTTAACCAAGATTAAACTCACTTTGGAGCTTGTGAATCAAGCTGCATTGTAACTGGTCCATCATTAACCAAACTGACCTTCTCACCATCAAAAGTGCAAGGATAGTTAACTTGTAGCAATCAAACATTAAAATCCAGCACATGCATCATCACAAAGAAATTGAATAACATAAGCTCACCTTCATCATTGCTCCAAAAATTCCATCTGCAAGAATATGAAGCATCTTCAATTCAGAATGTGACATAAAATTAAGTTTCAACAGATTTACAAGATGCATTCAAGGAAAGTGGCATATATAGATCACCAAGACTCCTTAAAGAGAATTAAATATACAAAGAGGGACGCAAGTTTTCCAATGACCTAATGTAAATTGAATTACAGGACACAAAAACAACGTTGTCTAGTCATCATGAAAATCAGCAGACTCACCGTTTCAACGTAATTAGACAAGTGACAAGATGAATTATGTGTTTCCGTCTGTGGTTAATACTAGATCTAAAGACAATGGAAAAGGAACCACTTTTAAGTTAACTATAGCTCATTTGGCCATAAGCTATAAATGTGTTCGACCTTAGAGAAGATGCTCAGTATCAAATCCATGAATCATCACACTCAATATGCAACATTCACTAACGAAGTTGGTGCTTGCTTAACTCAACAAAGGTAAATGCTGAATGGCTATTTCTTTACCCCAAAAATAAAAAACAAAAACAAACAAACAAACAATCAAAATTAATGCCTCTCTCTTAACTTTATCATTTCTCACAAATAGATACCTTCAGCTGATAAATTAAATACGATTGAAGTTTACCTTTTACTGCATCATTGTTATAGGCATTCCTGAATCTATCAACCAAAGAAGCATAAAAGGGCTTCGCTTTTTGAGGCGGCATTGCAACGTGAAAATCTGGCTTGTTGCCTTTCAGGAATCCATACAAGGTAAATTGACTCACTGTTACAAAACCAAAATTATTCGTTAAGTAAAACAACAACTTAAGTCCTTTCCACTTCCTTCCTCATTCATAATTAAGAAAACAGAACAAACATAATTCCGATACCTAATAAAACCTGATAACTCCTCTGCATTACCTGCAAGTTAAGAGAAGCCAAATTAGCCGAACAGCCAAAAGATTGAAAACAATATCCTCAATTGATACCTAAATTTGACAAGGAATTGAATTACACTTTGGTCCCATCCTTTGCCTGTACTTTCATTGGGGAACAATCTCATGTTCAAGACTTTACGACATCAGAAAATAGTAACAGGAAAATAAAAAAGTGACAACCGAAACCAGAAATTATACACTCAGCTTGAAAATCAAATAAAGGTAGAGCAGTACATGTAGTCGGCGTCGGCGTCGGAATCAGAATCGTGGAGGCCGACAAGGACGAGAAGGCCCGGTCCAATCTCAGACACAACGCGGCCTTCGACCTGAAAGAGTGCTACGATTCGCCGGTGATAAAGGATAAGAGAATAAGAGAGATAAGGTGAAGAAGCTTGACATTTTGGGTTGAAAGGAACTAACCTCGACGCTTGCAGAGGCCACGCGCTGAACGACGGCTCTCATTGCTGTGATTGGCTTCGGTTTCCCCTTGGTGACTGTAGCAGAAAAGCTTGTAGTTCTGTGCCTGGTGCGCGAATCCGTAGGGATGATGGCTGCTGAAGAAGAAGGCATATGGAGCGAGTACATTTTTATTATTCTTATTGTTATTGGACTTTTTCTCAAATCCTGTTGTTTTCAATAACAAAAAACCGGACCGGATACTAAACCGGTCTAGCTAGTGAGTTAAGGGTCAATAGGTCAGACCGGAGTCAAACCGGTCATATTAAAATAATACTCCTCCGGTCCTTATTATAAGACCCAATTTGACTTTTTATTTGGTCATGATTATAAGACCCAATCCATTTTCTCTCTTATATTTATGTATTTTTTTCCAAGATAATCCTTCTAATAATGATAGTTTTAACCAATATACTTAATTAGCAAGGATATTTTAGGAATGACAACATTTATTTATTATAAATAACCAACTTAACTTACTTCCTTAATTTCCTCAAATAAGTCAATTGGGTCTTATAATTAGGACCGGAGGAGTATAATTTAATTGGCAATGACAAAATAAAAATAACATTCATCAATAATAACCATTCAACAAAATACAAAAAACAACCAAAGTGATTTAAACATTTAATTGTACTAAACTAACATTAACAAATATATATCTTCATCATTACAGAAAATCAAAATTATCATTAAATTCATCGGCAGGGTCAGGAATTGAGACATCAATAGTTGGAAGAGGAAAATTAGAAGGAGTAGCAACATCATCTTGCAAAGGTGGAGGTTCAACAATATTCATATCATCATCACCACCTAAATAAGATAATAATAAAGTGTCAATTAAATGTATGTAAATCAATATTAAAATAAAAATATTTATAAAGTTCTAAGAGACTAAGACAATAATACCTTCATTATCCCTCCTAGGAGTTGTCAAATTTGAAATGTCTTCATTGTTGACAACACTTTCAAATGTTGCCACATCTCCATCATCAAACTTTGGAACAGGATCTTCTTCAGTCACCCAAAAGTCCACCAAATCAATGTTTTCAAAGTCAATAGGATCATAGCTTGCCTTCTGCTTCTTCAATGTACTCCTGACAAATAAAATTTTAATTAGATGTAAATCCATATCAAAATAAAAATGTTCATAACTTATAAAATTACCTATACTTTAATCGCAAGTTATAGTTTGTGAAAACTAAATCATTTAGCCTTTTGTGCTCCAGTCTATTTCTTCTTTTTGTATGAATGCGTTCAAATAAACTCCAATTCCTTTCACAGCCAGAAGAAGAAGAAGTTTGACTAAGAATGCGCATCGCAACACGTTGCAATTCTGGCACTGAACATCCATAATATGTCCACCATTCATCTAAATCATGAAAATATGAAATATAAAATTAGTGAATGACCATAAATATACTATTAGCTATTAAATAAAACACTTACAAGGGTCAAGTTTCTGTGCTGCTTTTTGACATGATGGTCTACTGAAAGATTCTTTGGCTTCACGATAAGTAGTTGCTTGTTTCATTACCAAGAAGCCATCAACCTCTTCGTTTGAGTAAGACTCCACCACATCAATTAAAGCCATCATTAACTTTGACTTGATAGAGCAGTCTGGAGCATATGTGATTGCAGGATTCAGCAAATATGATGCTGCATGAAGATTGGTCTTTAAATGCTTGTCCCATCGAGTTTGAATGATTGTTGTGTAGGGCTTATACAGCTCCTTGTTTTTCTTAAACATCTCCTTAATTGCCATTTTCGCCCTTCGCATGCCTTCAAAAACATAAGGCAATGAAGGCTTCTCATCTGAATCAACAATTCTCAACAATTTTATGAGAGGAGATACAATTTTCACAACTTGATAACAATCATTCCAAAACCGATTGTCCAATATGATTGCACTAAAAATTTTTCCTGCTTCAGTCCTTGATAATTTGTGGTCCACAAAGTGTTTATCAACAACTAAAGCTTGCAAGTCATTCTTGTGCATATATATGCTATGTAATGTAATAAATGTGGTAGCAAACCTCGTGGCACCAAGACGCACAATTTCTTTCCAAGTTGGTCTTCTCCTCAACCACGATAAGAAAACCATATGATTATATGCAAATACAGTTATCTTTGATGCCTTTGATGCGAGGTCTGACACATAAGGCATGCTTGAAAAGTCTTTCAATACAAGATTCAAACAATGTGTAGCACAAGATGACCAATAAATACTTTTATACTTCTCTTTAATCAATCTACCATATGCTACATAGTTAGCTGCATTGTCAGTCACCACATGAACAATATTTTTAGGACCAATCCACTCAATGACTTCACAAAATAGTGTGAATAGAGTTTTGGCATCTTTAACTAGATCTGATACATCAACAGACTTCACAAATACCATACCATGTGTAGAATACACTAAGAAGTTTATCAAGGTACGCTGTCTAACATCAGTCCATCCATCAGCCATGAGTGTGCAACCATTGTTTTTCCATTTAGCACGATGGCTATCAATGAGTAACTGACATTCTTTTCTCCAGTTACTCAACAAGTTAGTTTTAAAATCATAAGCACTAGGAGCTTTAAACCCAGGCCCTATTGAAGCAATGCCATCCACAGCCTTTTGAAATTAGGACAATCAAACGCCTTAAACGGAATGCAGTTTACAATAGCCCATTCAGCAATCAACATTTTCACATTATGCTTTGCTTCTTTAGTTGCTAATGCACTCTTAATGCCAGGTTGGGAATCAGGAGTTGTCCTAGGAGTAAAAAAATTGTCTATGCTCCCAGAAGCTTTCCTCTTCCTCACACTACTTGTGACATTTGGTGATTCAACATGAGTTTCTTCGACTTCCTCTTCTATGTTTTCAATAGTTTTCTTCTTTGACCCTTCTTTTAAAGACTCTGCCATTCTATAACGTACATCATGTGGAACTTTTTTACAAGCAGCTATTTGACCAACAGTGCCAGCAAGATGTTGCTTCATCCTATTTATCCCACCTCCTCTATAACTATTAGTACAAAAAAGACACGTATATATATTTTGTGTTCCTTCTTTTTTGTACGCAATATGTGCCCATGCTGGATCAGTTTTGGCACGTAATAAGGATGTGGGTGTGGAGGTTTCGGTAGGAGGATTTGAAGATCCAGTATTAGGAGTCATGTTGTCATTTCCAGAACTTTGGTTATTTGAAATATCCATCACTGCTACTCAGAAAACAAATCAAAAGCTTAACACAACATTAATCATTAAACAATCAAGTTATTTAGTTTCAGATTTCATATTGAACAAAGTGGGGAACCGTCCATAATTTTACAACCGTCCATAGTTTCAGATTTCACTACTTCATTATATACAATGAAATGACCACAATTTTAAACCAAACACGTTCACAATTTTGAAACCAAACAAGTAATTCTAAACTAGAGCATCAAATTATTTTAGAGTACCATTAATTTTCAGAATATCCATTCCTCACGCATCAATTTTGGAATCCATTGATGAGTTCAGACAATTAATTTTCAGTTTTCACACACAGAATATCCATTCCTCACGCAGAAGCAGAATTCAAATTCGGAAATTTCAGAATGACAAAATCAAACCATAAAAATAATTATCAAACCAGAATGGCAGAGATTAAATGATTAATAGATTATCACCGTCACTTCCTCCAAGTTCAACTTTACTGAGTGGCCGAGAGCAGAGAATGAGAGTTCAAAATCAAAACTTCAAACGAAAATTGGGAGGCTGGACTTGGGAGAGATCGGCGAGCACTCAGCCGCTCACTAACAATTTAGATCGGCGACGACAAGGCACCGACGGCGCGGGCAAGGCAACGAGCTTCAGGCTCGGGCAAGGCAACGAGCTTCAGGCTCGGGCAAGGCGACGAGCTTCAGGCACGGCGACGGCAAGGCACCGAGCAGCTTCAGGCGAGGCAGGGGATGACGGTCGACGACACACCGAGAGTGAGGGCACAGAACCGTGTGCGAGCTTCAGCGAGCTGGGAGATTCAGTGAGCAACTGAGCACACGGCGGCGAGATTCAGCGAGCTGGGATCGAGGACGCCGTAGCAAGCTGAGCACACGGCGGCTGCGAGGGCGACGGAGGACGAGATCGAGATCGCCAGAGACCGAATGAGGAAGAACCGAAGAAGGACTGAAGGAGACGGGGGCTGGGTCGAGACTCGAGCGAGGCTGCGGGAGTTTGAGCTGGTGTTTTGGAATCGCCAAACCGGTTTGCAAGTTTTTTTTTTAAATGAAACGGCGTCGTTTTCGGGCTCTAGAGGGGGCAAAAAGCTGAACCGGATAAACCACCTAAACCGGCGGTTTACCCGGTTTAACACCGGTTCTTACCAGTTCACCACCGGTTCAAACCCTGGCCGATTTTTTCCTTAACCTAGACCGGACATCAGGCCGGTTCACCGGTTCACTGATTGAACCGGCCGGTCTGGTCCGGTTTTTTTTTCCATGGTTACGGAATGCGGGCTGCCAATCGGGAATTAAACTTTTTTTGGGGCCCCCTGGGCTCTAACGCATCCGCTCTTGTCGTTTAAGCGCGACAAAATTATTTATTTACGTTTGGAACACAGTAAAATTAGGGTTAAGGTGCACCTAACACCCCCAAGTATTTTGCCAGGTGCACCCAGTGGCCTAAAGTAATTTATGGTGCAATTTTGCCCTCAAAGTAATTAAAATGGTACACCGGTATCCCATGCTAACAGATCTGTTAGTTTGATCGTTAAATTGATGAGTTAGCACAAGTTTGACCAGAAAATCTGACGTGGCATGTCTAATAAGCAGGTGATGTGGAAATTTTTTCGGGGTTAAGGTGCATCCAACACCCCCAAGTATTTTTCCAGGTGCACCCAGTGGCTTAAAGTAATTTATGGTGCAATTTTGCCCTCAAAGTAATTAAAATGGTGCACCGATATCCCATGCTAACAGATCTGTTACTTTGACTGTGAAATTGATGAGTGAGCACTAGTTTGACTAAAATAATCTGACCTAGCATGTCTAATAAGCATGTGATATGGCTTTTCTTGTTACTTCCATTGTTTTGTCTGAATATTACTCCTCTGGTCTTATTTATAAGGCACTTCCAGAATGTTTCACACAGACCAAGGAAAATCCTAAATTTCATTAACTCTCATTTAAATTTTAATAACTTTCCAACTTTATCCCTATTTAATGTACATTATACCTCATATAAACAAAGTCAATACAATAATAAATTAGGGGTAAATTTGTACATCCATATAAAAAATTTCTCTCAATGCCTTATAAATAGGACCAAAAAATATCTTTTCTCTCTACCCTATAAATAGGACTAGAGGAGTATCTCTGAAAAAATTTCTTACTCTGAAAAAAATTCCAAGAGCCAAAGAGAGCATTTACTGAACAGAGAAAACAAAGCAGTGGCAGACGAAAAAAATTTCACATCACCTGCTTATTAGACATGCCAGGTCAGATTATTTTGGTCAAATTTGTGCTGACTCATCAATTTCACAGTCAAAGTAAGAGATCTATTAGCATAGGATACCGGTGCACCATTTTAATTACTTTGAGGGCAAAATTGCACCATAAATTACTTTAGACCACTGGGTGCACCTGGAAAAATACTTGGGGGTGCTGGATGCACCTTAACCCCAAAAAAATTCCACATCACCTGCTTATTAGATATGCCACGTCAGATTTTCTGGTCAAACTTGTGCTGACTCATCAATTTAACGGTCAAACTAACAGATCTGTTAACATGGGATACCGGTGCACCATTTTAATTACTTTGAGGGCAAAATTGCACCATAAATTACTTTAGGCCACTGGGTGCACCTGACAAAATACTTGGAGGTACTGGGTGCACCTTAACTCGTAAAATTAATCCAAACGCCTCCTAATTTACACTCCGTCCTATCCTTTTTAGTTTTTAAACTGTGTTTCTCTTAAGTTGGGATAAATTTGAAAAAAAAATTAATTTAGTACAAATTTAATACTTTAACTATTATTTTTTAGTATGTAAAAATTAGTTAAAAATTCCTTATAATAAGGATTAGAAGGACTATATATCAATAAGATAGTTTACTGATTTATATTTTAATTTTCGGGAGAATAACATAAAAAGAAACTTGAAATATGATAAGGAAAATTTTTTTAAAATAAAATTTAAATTTTGCAAAATCCCAAAAGATTACCTAGCAAAATTTCAAATTAGTCATAATAATTGAATTGGAATTTTAAAATGAGAATATTTTTAAAAAATATTTATAAAATCTCAAAATCCCAAATCAAGAATTACTACAAACATGTGTTTTTATTTTCTTTTTAAATGTTATCACTTGCTATTAAAGTGTCTTGAACAAAACTGATTTAAAATTTTAAAATTCAAAAATATTTCTTTGTGATTCTTCCTTTTGAAATGCATGTTTGCTTTTTTTTTTTTTTAAGGAAAAAAAAACCTCAAGCTACTCTCATCAGTCGGCTGACCGCTAGCAACCAATGTCAGAGCTTTGCTGAGTCGATGACTGCAACTCTTTTTTTTTTTTTAATATTTATAATATGATTAACAACTCTTATAAAAAATTCACAACTTCATTAATACTATTTACCATGTGCTTTTTATGTTTTTAAACCAAATTTTTTTAACACATATAACGTAATTAAGAATTTTTATAACGAAATTGACAAGTCCATTAATGTCAATAACCATTTTATATTATGTTTTTAAACTTAAAAAAAATTAACAAGTGCCCAACCTCATGTTGGCTTGAGGTTTTACCCCCCAAAAAAATGCAATATTATAAATTTGTGAATATTTCAAAAATTTAATTTAGTCATTATAACTAATTTATAATTTTACGAATCCAAGTCACCTTCTGGGATTTTAGAAATCCAACTGTATTTTTTGGGGGAATTTTTCCTACATTTTTTCAAGTTTTCTTTTTCTTAAAATTTCACGTTAACCACAAAAAATTAACAAATAAAAATTATACAATTTTCAACAACGTATGTTGATTTGACAAGTCAATTTCTTATCGGATCAGATCACATTTTAAAAATATAATTCCAAATTACCCAAAAAAATTGTCAAACTAACGCTTTTGGAATGGATACCAGGAATGGATACCAACATATGCGTTGTGAATTTATGAAGTGACCATAAAAAGTTAACAAGTTAGAATTCTGCAATTGAAATTGACAACAACATGCGCACATTTTGAATAAATGACCACGAGATAGAATTGCTTGCAGAGACTTTCATTTCCAATATCGATCTGCCAAACATGAATTGTTTGGAAACCTAAAAAAACACTTATATTTTTTAGGAAAAAAGACAAAAAAATGCTACTTAAATTTCATAATCCCCAAATGGTATATTAAATTTGAGAAATCCCAATTTGGTCTCAAGAAATTGGAATTATCATGTTAAAGAAAAAGAACAAATTGCCCTTTATTTTAAATATTGTTTTTAAAA